TGTGACTCATTTAACAACTGCAGTGATTCACTTGACAACTGTGGCAAGAAAAGTCGTAAAATGGGGCAAACCTCACCCCACAAATTTCCCCCTTAGCGACATAAACTTTGGGGTCAAATGCGGTCGTACGTGGAGGACCGCCCATATATCTTTTGCCTCCCTTTTGCCCTGTTCTAGTGAATGCTATATAGTTCATTGCCATTTTGTTTAATTTTGGGGGTCACTCTTTAATAGTTTTTATTGCCCAGCTAAGTTCTGTTAGTACTTTAATCTAAATTTCCTCAGAATTCAAGTATGACCAAAGATTGTCAAAGCCGTTGATTTATCAGTAGTATGTATAAAGGGTAGAAGCCTGATGTTCTTTCTGAGGGACCCAGATATTGCAGACACCAGGATAAAACTTGAACCAACTTCGCTTCGTGATCTGTAATGTCTTGCAATACGCTCAGACATTAGAATGAACAGAAAAATACAGCGAATTGATGCAGATTTCATTTGACTTTGATCTGTTAGCCCACAAGCTCACCCCTGCGGAACACAAAAACGTTTATTCAGTCAGCGACCAAGACAGCAACTAGGGAACGGCGCCTTGTATTTTTCTCTTGAAAGAACATAAATTAATTGAGTCTACATTTGCATGTGTATTAGCCTCTTGTGCATTTTCTGCCCTCTGTTTGGGATATATGGCATTCAAAGTGGCGGGGCTAATTCTGCTTTCTGAATTACTGGACCAATGTGAGAAACTCCTGACATGGAAGGGAAAAATGAAAAAACAAAAACAAAAAACGAAACCAAACCCCAGCTATTGTACAATTTAGAAAAAACAAAAATGACTGTTTACGTTTCCCCTGAGTTTTAGGGATAGTCTAATAATAGTTTTTCAAAATTTCCTTTTAGAAAGGGGAAATTCTCTGATTTTTGTTAGGGGCTTGCCCTCTGACTGCCAGTGGGCCGGAGGAGAAAATTCGTTAGGGTTGGCGTTGGGGAAACTACCAGCCAGGCAAGGAGGAGGGATCAAGTGGGGAACTAGTCTTGAGTCACTGCATAGCAGCAAGATGGGCTTCTCTACGTACCCTAAGGGAAGACAAGCAGACTGGGGAGATTCTTGTATTATGAGTAGAATACAGTAGTCAATTTGAGCCCTTCACGCGTGGATCCGATTGCTTGTGCCTGGCAGTTTGGAAAGGGTAAAAGAAAATGAACCTTCGTCATGGAGGTGGGCTTGAATCCAAAAGTAGCAAGGCCTTTCCCACTGCTTGTGGACTGTTGGTTTTATTATGCAAACTATTTGGGCTCGCCCTTCAGTCAAAAGAGAATAGCTGAAAGTGCCACCTGGATAAACATTAAATACAGGTAGTCCTGAACCACAGAGCCGTGGTGGTGCAGTGGTTAGAATGCAGTATTGCAGGCTAACTCACTGTTCACTGTCGGGAGTTCGATTCTGACCGGCTCAAGGTTGACTCAGCCTTCCATCCTTCCGAGGTCGTTAATGTGAGGACCCCGGGTTATTAGGGGCAATATATAAACCACTTAGAGAGGGCTGTTAAGCAATATATAAGTTTAAGTGCTATTGCTATTGCCTAGACCAGAGGTCCCCAACCTTTTGGGCACCAGGGACCGGTTCCGTGGAGAGAGGTTTTTCCATGGACCGGAGGGTGCGTGGTTTTGTGTGTTGCCTGCATTTCGCGGATGTGGCTTTGTTTATTTGTGCAAACTGATTGCTGGCCATGCCGCGACCCATTACCAGTCCACAGACCGGGGGTTGAGGATCCCTGGCCTAGACAGTCATATTAGCTCAATCAACCCTAACGATCAGTGGGGTGACACATCCAGATCAGCCTCACATCAATTAGGAATAACTTCAGTACAGTAAACCATCCTTCAAATCGTGGAGCGATTTCTAAAGGAAGGAAAACAAAAGGTAAATTACAAAGCAATTTTAAAATGCCTGGAGGAATTCATGCTGTCAGGTGACAGCACAAAATTTGTGGCATTGACTTCAGCTACACTGGAATGGAATGAACCCTCTGTCGTCCAGGGGCCATCCGAGAGAAGATGTCTCATGCTGAAATCTCCTGGCAAGGCTACATCCACCAGAGGCTCCTTTGAAGGTTGTATGGCAGGATATAGTAGGAAGGTACAAAGAGACACACCTTCTGGAATTGTGTCCAAGCCATGTAACACTTCAAAGGGTGTGAGCAGGCAACCAGCGAAGCTGTGTCAGACTCTGGTAAAATTTCCATCTGGTTGCCCTGGTTAAAGATCTTCCGGTTTTGCTGAGCATTCCCCATGAATCATCTTGATAGGTATTTTAATCTGCAATGCATCATAGGTTGTTTCCTCTATCAGGGTCAAAATCTGCAAGGGGGCATGACATCATGGTCACAGTCTCACTCCTTGTGTACACAGACATGGGGTGGGACTCTGATTGTGACATTGCATTCGTCATCTGGCAAATTCGGAGAAATTTTGCATCTCCCAAGCCTTCCTGTCCTGCAGATTTGTGGTGGACCACAGTTCGTGGTATTTTCCAGGTATTTTCCTCCTCCATCACGTCAAGTTACTGGTTCTCATTTTCTTCTGCAAAAGGCCTGTGTCATTTAGCCTGAGTAAAATCTTTAGCAGAACATTCTCTGAAGTAGATCATTGAAAGTATTTGTTCTTCAATCTCTCCTAGGAAATAACTGTGCAAATATAAGAATGTGTACAGTGTAGGGCGCTCTTCTCCACAAGTGCCCTCCAAATGCATCAGACTGCAACTTGCAAAGTTCCCAGCCATCATAACGGCTGGGGAAGGCTGGTGTCAGGGATGGGTTGAGTAGTCCCCATTTTTAATTGAGTAGTCCCCATTTTCAATTTTCATTTTGGCTAGGAATCCATTGGGTTACCTTGGACAAACCACTTTCTCAGTAATACTGCTTCAGAAACCATCTAACACTATCTGGGATTTACACCACATGATGCACTTATCACCAGATTTAAGAAGCCTGCACAAATGTTAGGAGAGTTAGAATAAGATCACTTGTTCCTCACATTTCTCCAAAGAAGTGAATGAAGGTAATGCAACATTGAGTTGTCCTCAATGACCTGTGGATTAAAGGCTGAAAGTTATTGCTGCATTGTATTGACCTCATTCGATCAAATAGATCAGGTAGAACAGTTACGGCAAGATACTTCTGAGTGATTTATGCCATCCTGTAGTCAGGGAAAGCCTGTTCCTCGTTACTAGTATTTTAGTACAACAGTAGCTGGATGTTAGAAGTTCCTAATAAGCAACTAGAACAGTGTTTCTCAATCTTGACAATTTTAAGGCATGTGGACTTCAACTCCCAGAATTCCACAGCCAGCATTGCTGGCTGTGGAATTCTGGGAGTTGAAGTCCACATGCCTTAAAATTGTCAAGGTTGAGAAACACTGAACTAGAAGGTGATCTACTCAGGATTAGCCAGGGAACCTTGTTGGGAGCAATGATTTAATTGTGGACCTTGTCCAAATTTTAGCACACTAACCGTACCCTCTATTTAGTTAGACAAGTTTGGCAACTGATTAAGATTCTCCTTGAACTCCACAATCATCTCCTCCTCCTCCTCCTCCTCCCCTCCTCCCCCAACTGCAGAGTTCACTTTTTTTATCTAGACCAACCAGGTGTGATCATTGGTTTGTGACAGGAATTGACCAGCCCGCTTGTTGCCCAAGTCTAACATCATGGGCTGAGTGAAAAATGACTGGCCCAAAATCACTCTCTCTCTCTCAGACGTTAGTGGGTATACCCAGCACACACATTTCACAGAATAAATGGAAAAATGGCTGCCATGATGAGCATAGTCAAAACATTGATGTACCAGGAGATAGTGAGGTTCCCTAACACCAAATATTTTTGCTGTGTTCTATAATAGTTATTTAGAACAAATGAAAACGCTTTCCGACAAATACTGTGTTGTGGTAACCTAGACGTTGGCATTTTGCTTTGTGGCATGCCAGCTTCCCTTTATTTTATTAAAGGAAGCTTAGAAAAGACAGCAATGCAAAAAAAATGTGCTGTGGGAGGCTCTTATAGGCTGCTATCTGCACACAATATATCCATTTTTAATCCCTTCTCGACAAGTTAAGAGCTCTTTTGAGAATATGGATTAAACTCATATCACATGCCTGGCTCAGAATCCAGATTATTGTTACTTCCTCTGCTCCTGTTGTTTATTTTCTTTAAAAAAAGTTATTCAGACAGTTTCTAGAATGTATCTCCTTGTCTGCCTATAACATAGGTTAAAAAAAGACAAAGCTAATAATTGAAGTTATTCCTTCAAAAGCTAATGGGCTTTTCCCATCAGAGCTGCACTCCAAATAGACAGGGGACTCCACTCTGCAAAATTTCATGGGTCAAGAATTTTAAGGTTGCTTTCCAGCCTGGGAAAAGTTGTAAGCCAAGTTTTAATTCATCTCCCATTTTGTTTTTGCTTTTTAAACAGCAAACAACGCTAGCAGCACAAAAAGGGCCAACAGTGCATATTTCTTTCAGGGTGGTAGGAATATTGACAGTCATCTGCCTGAATTAAAATATTGCAGTCTGTTTATAGCCTTGTAGCCTTAATCTGATTTAATTTGTCTTCCTCTGTGCTATTCCTGCACACATGAACACTTTTAGAAAAAAGAGAAAGCTGAATATGAAGGCTAGTGCAACGGTCTGTTGTCTGAAGTTGACATGGTGATATGGCCTACAGAACCATCTTGCAAACTACTTTGTGGACTTCCTTTTCTTTCCTTTTCTTTCTTCTTCTTTGAGTGCCAAGCAAGGAACGAGGAACAGAATGCTTTTGCTTATTCATGGTTTGTTAAATAGCCCCCAGTTGGCTGGATTCCTCTAACCGCTAAGCTCAGCCTGAAAAAGCCAGATTATTTTGTAACACAACGCGTAAAGCTATCCTTTATGACCACAGACCTGCTCAGGAGTATTTTGAAGAACTGGTAGCGTGCAAGGTGCCTTTGGTGTGCAGAAGACCTTGGCCCTCACTCTGCGTGTCCTTCTCTTTGCAGAGGGATGCTAGCAGTGCCTCGGAATGCCTTATGTAGACCGTCAGAATCGAATTTGCGGATTCCTGGACATTGAGGATAATGAAACCTGTGGAAAGTTCCTGCGCCGGTATTTTATTCTGGATACCAAAATCAACAGTCTTTTGTGGTACATGGACAATCCTCAGGTGAGTCCCTCCCTATAAGCACTTTGTTAAGTTCGTAAAGACCCCCATTTAAGAACATTAAGGGGATTGGTTAGATGGGCAGATGTTTTTTCAACTTTCTCATGGAGCTAAGGTCCAGTTACAAATGATATCCCTGTAGACTCATGACCGCAATTAATGCTTGTGGTCTAAAAATTGTAAATGATTTTCTGTGCAAAATGTCTTCCCCCTCCCCACGAAATTACCAAAAGATACAATTGCACTTTAATGTGTGTTCCTGTCCACTGTTTCTGAAACAGTCCGGAAAATTGTCATAAGATACATTTGTTTGTTTAATTGCATAACTATAGAATCAACATAAAAGACAATCATTATGTCAACCATCGAATTAGATTTGGATTTAATGGACATTTGGATTTAACAGACACCTTTTCAAATGGTCGATAAATGGAGAGTCTCTTTTTGAATCCTACCCTCTAATTATGCTTAATAAAATATATCTACAATGTTTATAGGACATTCAGATCTATGTCAAAGTTCATAACTTTTTTTATCTTTGACAGGGATATTTATGCATGTGTAACCATATAGATAATCTAGGTATGCAATTTATATGCCAGAAAACAGAAGTAAACCTAAAGCTTATCACTTAACTTCTGTATACAGTAAAGCCTTAATTTTATGGACCATTTGAAAAGGTGTCTGTTAAATCCAAATGTCCATTAAACCCAAATTGATGCAATTGGCATGATTTGTCCCTTGCTGTAATTTGGTTATTAACACAATGATGTCAGTTGAGTCCATTTACAGTACTTCATACTTCATAATGCAAAATTATACAAGTGATGCAATTATGTTGATTCTATTGTTATGCAAATGGACAAACAACTGTATCTTTTGGTGATTTTTCCAGACTATCAGAAAAATTAGACAGGAGCATACATCCATTCTGAAGATTTTAAAAATTAAAGTACAATTGAAACCATAGGTTTTCTGTTGGGATTAATGAACAGACAACTAGAACAAAGTCACGGAACTTTGTTTTATGTAGGACAACTGCAGTGAAATAAATTACATGCTCAAAAGTGGAAAATGCCATAAATAAATAAACAAACAAACAAACAAATAAACAAATAAACAAATAAAATAGAAGACGTTTCCGATTTCTTTTGCAGCAAATATAAATGCGATTATAGAGTTATCTCTTATGATTACAAAAAACCCCCTCTTTTTTCTATTATCTATTTTTTTTCTAATAATCAAAACTGCAAGTTATAAGTGCATTTTTTTCCTGTTTCATGCAAAAAGTCTGTGAGGGTTTTGCCATTGGCCATAAATAGTTATCTTTTCTCTAATGAAGGAAACCAATTTAGCCCTTTTTTGCAAGTTCCATCATCTTCACCAACCGTTCCACTATTGTGGGTAGTATCAAACCTTTTCACTTTTGAACATATACTAATCTTGCTGCAGCTGTCATGTATTTTAAAAAAAAAGCAATATATTGTGGGAGTCTATTAAGGCCAAAAGAAAAGTCTCTAGTTTCAACTGTGTGTTAGTCTGTAACATTTTCTGAATTGTTATATTTACTTATTGTATGTCCAAAAATTATTGGCTTTTTTTAACGCATCCACCATAGATGATAAAATGTCCCTTCATTGTAATCCCACATTCCTAATGAGAAAATTTGAGCCAGTGGGTTTTTTTCTGACTCATCTCATAACTTCGTCTGTCTGAGCATCTTGGCAAGAAAACCACATCAAATGTTTTTATCTATGAAGCCGTGCCGGTCCCTTCCCGGGAGGAACTGAATTAAGCTTATTTGTTCAACTTAAAAAAAAAAAAAAAAAAGAGCACACCAGAGTACCATCTGCAGTATTTACCAGCTTTTAGTTACTACAGGTAATCCTCAACTTACAGCCCCAAGTGAGCCTAAATTTTCCATTGCTAAGCGAGACAGTTAAGTGGGTTTTGACCCATTTTACAGCCTTTCTTAACATTAGCAATTAGACTTATATACCACTTCACAGTGCCTCATAGCCCCCTCTAAGCGGGTTACAGAGTCAGCCTATTGCCCCCAACAATCTGGGTCCTCATTTTACCCACCTCGGAAGGATGGAAGGCTGAGTCAGCCTTGAGCCGGTCAGGATCGAACTCCTGGCAGTGGTCAGAGTTAGCCTGCAATACTGCACTCTAACCACTGCGCCACCACAGCTCCTGTCACAGTTGTTAAATGAATCACTGCAGTTAAGTCAGGAACATGGTTGTTAAGTGAATTTGGCTTCCCCCTTTTACTTTGCTTGTCAGAAGATCATAAAAAGGGATCACATGACGCAGGGACCCTGCAACTGTCATAAATACGAGTCAGTTGCCAAGCGTCTGAATTTTGATCACGTGACCCTGGGGATGCTGCAATGGTCGTAAATGTGAAAAATGATCATAAGTCTCTTTTTTAGTGCTGTCGTAACTTTAAACAGTCACTAAATGAACTCTGTACCTTAGAGAGGCTTGGTAACCTAAGCATTGGGGGGGGGGGGGGAAATCTGGAATGAACAAAACTGTTCTTGTATTTGCAAAAGCTGAACTTGTAAAAGTGTGATCAACCCCAGAGTTCTCCATAAAGCGTCTTCAGGGAAAAAGGGGTGATAATTTTAAACCTGCTCCAGAAAATAGCTTATATTGCTATTCTCAGAATTCTCAACTATAGCAACCATTGCTGTGGGGAAAAAAAAGGGAATGGTCTAAATCAGTGTTTCTCAATGTTGACAACTTTAAGAGAGCTGAACTTCCAGAATCCCAGCATTCCCAAGGCAGTTGACGTCCACCCAATTTAAAGTTGTCACGGGTTGAAAAACACGGGGCTAAAGAATTTAACTTTATTGGTAATAACACTCTAGTTTTTCTAGAGCTTGGGAAGGGAAGCTTTATCTTGGGGGAGTCAAAAGTGCACGGTGCAATTCTCTGAAAGAAATAGTTAAAGTGATTGTTGGGGGCGGGGAGTGAAAAAAATTAAGGGCTGTGTACCTAAGTCCAGTGAGTCCTTCCTTCTCATTAGGTGGCCAAAATACTTGAGTTTCAACTTCAGGATCTGGCCTTCTAAAGAGTAGACGTGAGCTTAAATGGACTCCAGAAGATGGTAGAGGACAGGAAGGCCTGGAGGAATGTTGTCCATGGGGTCGCGATGGGTCGGACACGACTTCGCAACTAACAACCGCAACAACAACAAACCTAAGTCTAGAGTTGCTATGATATTCTTAGAAGACTATCAATGGCCAGAACAAAGTATGACTCTAGAGCAGATAATTTCACATGACTGCAATTACGTAGCATGGTGGCATTGCAGATAACGTGGGATAGATCTTTTAACAGTCACCCTCCACTTCTTGAAAAAGGTGAAGTGCAAACAATGAATGCAGCAGGTCAAACTCCAGGGAGTGTAGACTTCCCATTGTATTTTTGCTGACGAGGAAGCATCACTACATCCGTGTAACTGCCAAGAAAACTGTTGTGTTTTCAGGAACAGTTGAGCTTGATTTGAAAGAAAACTTTACCTTTCACGTCCAAATAAGCAAAGGGAGAACTCCACCCGTATGATGGACTGTTGCTTAATTGGCTTTTATTTCAGAATCTGGCTGTGGGCTCAAAAGCAGTAGGATCTCTACAACTGACCTACATCTCTAAGGTAAGGCTAAAACAGTTTTGTGCTCCCCCACCGGCACCTATTGTGTTTCTGGTCCTCATCATTCTTGTTCTTGTTTTTTTAAGGGCTCCACCTCTTTGCCTCATAATCAAACAAACATATAAGTTAATATGTAGAAATCTTGGCCAGGATTAATAGGTGACATGTCTCATGAGCACAGGTCCTTTCCTTTCTGACATGGAGCTGAGTAAGCATTAAGCAGCAATAGGAAAAATGCACATGTTTCTTAATAAAACCTATTTGTCGGAAAAGGTGGTTATTGGTTACCATAAACTAATCTTTATCCATCCAGCTGATGAACAACCTCAACTTGACTACCTCAAGTTGAGGTTCCTCATCATCTGGATGGCTAAGGATTAGCCTATGGTAGTGAAGCTAAAAAATAAATAGCCAACATGCATTCATTGATTGAAATTGATTTTGGGGATTTATTTCCTGCCATGAACTCTGTGGAGGGGATAAAAAGAATGAGCAAATAAGTTAAGGATAAGAAGAACTGGAGAAGAAGGAAGTCCTAGGTCATTAGGCCTGTTCTTTGGACTGAGTTAATTATCTCACCCGCTCTCTCACCTCATTGCTCTGCAACTGGCTTTAATTATAGTCTGAACTCTTTTTTAAATTAGTGGCAGTAAGTTTGGCTGCCCACTCTGGGTGCAACAGGACTGGGACATTCATGTTGGCAGGAGAGAGAATGTTGTGTTCTCAAATTCATAAAGAGTCTGTCTCTGTCAGGGCAGGACCACTTGTTAAATTCCAGTTAAGCTGATTTATTGTATTTAATAGTCAGCACTAAATTGGTGCTAGATAAGAGTTAACTGAATTCTAGAAGGATTGGACTGTGGGAAACTAATGACGTCAGGCTAATTCCTCTCTTGACTCCACCCCCCCAGGCTTTGCCTATCCTTCTCCTACAGCAGGGGTGTCAAACTCACCGCGTCACGTGACGTGTCGTGACGTATCGTGTCTTTTTTCCCCCTTGCCGGAGCTGGGGTGGGCGCGGCTTCCGCATGATGCATCCGGCAGTTTGACATCCCTGCTGATGGGCCGGCCATTTGACACCCCTGTCCTACAGTCTGTTTTCTAAAACTGACAATAAAACAACTCAGGCAACCACATCAGCAGCCCATTTCCATTTGCTTTCTTTGCAGGTCAGCGTGGCTACCCCCAAACAAAAGCCGAAAACACCATTCTGTTTTGGTAAGCCTTAATTGGGAGGGAGCGCTTTCTTTCATCGGGGGGGGGGCACATTTACCTTTTGGTCCCCCTTTCAAAGAATTGATTTGGGGGAAGATTTTTCAAGGGTGAAAAGGATGATTAGAGCTAAAGGGTTGCTTTTTGTCCCATAGACCCCTCCCAAGAGGCAAATGTGGCTGAGTTTGGGGTGGCTAGCTTTAAGGGATGATAATCTGTATGAGTGTCTCTAGCCTACAGCATGTCTTTTCTCCTGAAGCCCCCCTCCCTCTTCCCCCCCCCCCAATAAAATGATCAGATCTGAAATGTTCGGCCCTGCTCACTCTGCTCTTGGCGAGCTGCAGATGAGATGCTTTGAGGCTATGTGTAGGGCATGGACCTCGAGTCCTCCATCCTTAATGTAAGTCATTATAGGGAGGATGAAGATTGGAGAACATCTTTGTGGCATCCTTGGGAGCAGAGCTTTGGCTTCCACAGGCAAAGATGTGATCAAAAGCACATAACTGTTTCCTGGCAGGTATTGTGTGCAATTCAAAACACATTTTGCTCTTCAAATCCAGAGCACTGCACAGTCCTAACGTGTAGGTGGAAAGTGGACAAGCGAATTCACTTCTTACTTAGGAAGCAACGTTGGGTGATGTTGGGTGGCTTTTTCAGCTGCACCAGCTTGGGAATCAAATGGAGATTTGAACATTCTTGGAGCAGAGAGTTCTTTGTGAGAAGGGAGAGAAAAGGTAAAGAGGTAGTCTTCAAGTTGAGTTCAATTCTTGGGGGCCTTGTGGAGACATCTTTACAGATTTTTTTTTTGGGGAGAGTAATGTGGAAGTGGTTCACCATCTCCTTTTAAGACAATTGCACATCCACTCTGAAATCTAGCTTGGTGCATGGGATTTCCCTGTGGCTTCCTACCCAAGCGTTAAACTGGTGTGACCCTATCCTACTTGCATGAGACCAGCCAAGGTCAGTAAGTTGTTGCCACCTAACTGGGCTCACAAGTGGAGGCTTTCGGATATCATTTTGACCTTATGGTAGAACCGTGGTCGATCTCTTCCAAACGAGGACCACTGGGTCTTGATCCTTGTGGCATAATTTAGAGGTGGATTTCCACTGGCTTAGCCTAGCTTTGCACAGGACAGGAAGAAGAAAGTAAAGCCTAAGAAGCAAGAAGGGTTTCATCAGAGCCTCAAGGCCCCCTGTTCTTCTACGTGAAGGAGAAGTGGCTGAGATGGATTGGACAGTAGGATTGAAGTAAACATCTTCAGACAGGAAGCCCTGGGGAATTAGGGAGGAAGTGACAGAACCACACGAGATGGAACTGGTTGACTGCCTTGCTCCTTCCCAGGCAATTTATTATTTTATTACTCTGATTTCTTTCTTTTTCCGCCTCTTTAAGCTTCGGATAATTTATTTATTTATAACATGTACAGGCTGCCCATCTTATCTCAAGGCAACTCTGGGTGGCTTACCATCATTAAAAAAAAATCAAAACTATATAAACTAAAAACCTAAATATGTAAATACAAAATCCAAAACACTTTGGCCCAATTAAAAGATGGGGAGGATAGGAGCAGGATGGTGGGGAGGCGGGGTCTGTTATCAATCGATCAAACACCTTCACTATGACGCTCCCCAAGAAATAACTGGCAAAACCAATTATTATATATCCACGTGGGTGGAAATATCAGCAACTGAGCTGGGAGGTGAGCCACCTTCCAAACAAAGGCTGAGTAATTGTCCACGCTTACTCAGGAGCTGCAGATGGGGACTCTGACTTGTAGAAAAGGTCAGTGGGAAATCAGATAAGTGGTGGAACAGAATGGTTGAGGAGTAAACCTTGCCGTGTTTTGCTTTTGTCAAGGGCAAGGAAAACACGGCTTGTTTTCAGACTCTCTGGGGTAAGCACCCAGTTCTACTAGCAAGAGCCATGTCTAAATGAAATTGCACTTGGACGGAAATAATGCCTTTTGGAACTAAGGAAGTTCTTTTGGAAAGTTGGCCCACCAATCAAAGGAATAGAGTAGAGTAGAGTAGAGTAGAGTAGAATAGAATAGAATAGAATAGAATAGAATAGAATAGAATAGAATAGAATAGAATAGAACTGGAAGGGACCTTGGAGGTCTTCTAGTCCAGCCCCCCACTCAAGCAGGAGAACCTATACCATCTCAGACAAGCGACTGTCTGGTCTCTTCTCAAAAACCTCCAGTGAATGGAGCGCCCACGATCTCTGAAGGCAAGTTGTTCCGCTGGTTGATTGTCCTCACTATTAGGAACTTTCTCCTTAATTCCAGGTTGCTTCTCTCTTTGATCAGTTTCCAACCATTGTTTCTTCTCCTGTCCTCTGGTGTTTTGGAGAATAGTTTGATCCCCTCTTCTTTGTGGCAGCCTCTCAAGTACTGGAATACTGCTATCATGTCGTCCCTATTTCTTCTTTTCTTTAGACTAGCCAAACCCAAGGAAAAGTAGAGCTTGCTACGTAATAATAAAGCAGGGGTATATCAAGGTTACACTTTTCTGCTTAGAAATCACCCCACTTTGGGGTTTTAGGTTCACCTGGCCCCCTTTCCTTAATTGGGCAGCCACTCTATAGCACATCTCCCTGGTAGAAACTTTTTCTTAGTTGATGTGCTGCCCCCACCTGTTTTAAATTGGAACCATCTTCCCCCCTAATTCCAGGTACAGGAGAAGCATGGAAATCCTCTTCCTTCTTTCCCTGCATGGAAACAAATGGTTTTGTGCACGTAGCTGAGCCATGAGTAGGAATGAAGGAAATAAGGACTGTTCCTAAATGAGAAGGTCAACAAGCGTATGGAATATTAATTTAATATTCATTAACTGTGAAATATTAATAATATCAGTATGCATTAATTGTATTAATGCAAAGGTTGGCACTCCCCCAATATATTTCACAGGCAAAGCTTAATGAAAAAGTCAACCTGGCGTGTTCGGTGGAAATACAAACCGAATGACCCTGATTTATCATTTTTCCCAGGCATAAAAAGTCACTCTTACAGTCATTTCCCGCAGTTAAAAATCAGAAAAGATCCTTGCACTTAGTTTGAGGCATACAAGTGGAGACGGCATGTAGTTCTCAGAAGGTTTGATTGCCGTCTGGAAAAAAAAAATGAGATTATTAAAATGTCTTTTTTATATGGCATGAAACAAGTATTAAATGTGCAACTCATTTGTTGCTTTAAGTAGATGGGCACAATAGTTCTCTCCTCTCCTCGGAAGAACTTTGCTGTTGAATCTCTGCAGCTAAATTTGGGGAAACTCCAGGGCATATAAAAAAAAGGGTCTTTGAACTCACCCTCTGGACTTCCTGGAGTGGTGGACCAGGGAACAGTATCCTCTTGGAGAAATTGAAAACTGGTTCATGGAGCAGGGAATGAGGAGTGGGGAACTCAGAAAGAATAAGGCTTCTTCTAGAAGCTGGGAATTTGCTACTGAGGACAACTATGTGCCCTCTTTGAAGTGATGCACAGCTCTTGACGATGATCTTTGTATCTGCAGTTATCAACGCCTTGTCTCAGCGCTATGTCTTGCAAGCAAATGACCAAAAAGATCTCCAGGACTGGGTGGAAGCGTTGAATACTGCCAGCAAGATTACGGTAGGTCTTCTCTCTTCACATTAGCTGGCAGTCTTCCACTAACGGTCCTCAGAGAAGGAAGGCAGCAATTCATTTTATTGGGATGAAGGTTGCGTCTTACCGCTGGTCTCCTTGTGTATTCTTTTCAGGAATTGGATCAGCTTTGTGCCATGAATGGGGATGCAGGTGAAGTTAGGAGGAACTGGGAGTATAAATTACGAAAGAGGGTAAGGGCTTAGATAATTAGCCCAATCAAGGCATCAAAGCCAACTATAACCCTAATTTAGAGTCCAATCGTGGTTGAAACTTCCATATAACCACTGCTTAGAACTATCCATCTTGTCTCTGTTTAGTATTTTCCTTGGCACCCTGGTTTTTGGGGCAGAATCCCAACTGCCTTTAGGACTACACCTGCCCCTTGCCTCTGCACAGGTGATTCAACTCCTTTGGAGTTGGTTGCAAGCCAATGGTTTATTGGGGAGAAGTAGGATTTAAAATTCTTCCACTGAAGCCTGGAAGGAACGGGCTGAAATAATAGCATTTTCTTCCAGATGGAAACACCCCATCAAACAACCACAGTCGCCACATCATTCTTTGTTCCTTAGTACGGATACTGCCCACTGGTCCACACTGCTGTATCTGGCGCTTGGCTTTTGCTAACCCCCTGTTACAAATCTGGAAGGATTTCGGGCCATATTCTTCCGTGGCCTCTATTTTGAGGAGCTCTGAGATTGCTTGGAAGCATTCTGGTGATTGTCCTGCCTCTTTCCTAAGAGAGAGCTGTTGTGGGTTTTGCTGCTGTGGTTGCTGTGACTGGTCCTCCCCAATGCTGTGTAAGTAAACGGGGAAGAAGAATCAGGAGAGGACGCCTGGGACGCGAGAACTAAAGGACTTCCCAATGAAACTTTAATTGGGCAATCACCCCGCCTAGTTGGGCGGTGCGGTGGCCCAGTGGCTATGATGCTGAGCTTGTCAGCTGGAAAGCCGGCAGCCCAGGTTTGAGACCCAAGCGCCATGCGACAGGGTGAGCTCCCGTCCTCGCTCCAGCTCCTGCGAACCTAGCAGTTCGAAAGCAGGCAAATGCGAGTAGATAAATAGGTACCACTTCGGTGGGAAGCTAACGGCGTTCCGTGACGTCATGCTGGCCACATGACCGACAGCGCTGGCCTTGAAACAGAGATGAGCCAGTAACAGCCAGCAGAGTAAAAGCTGCAGGGACTCCATTACCTTTATTTTTTACCTGCCTTTGTTAGCTAGATTGTATTAAGGTGTGTGCATATCCAGGTGACACTGTCTTCCATAGGTTATATTCACCTGTTTCTTACCACTTCAGAACAGAAAACTATAAGATGCATGCAGATCAGTCACACTATCTAATTTTATTCTTTTTTGTATTGAAATATAAATCGATGGGAGGACTACACCCCCTCCCTAGCATTCCACTTAAGGACTAAGAGTGGTCTGACCTAAAAGGTTTATATAGTACAGGGGTCCTCAACCTTGGCGACTTTAAGACTTGTGGAGTTCAAAGCTAGCTGAGGAATTCTGGGAATTAAAGTCCACAAGTCTTAAAGTCGCCAAGGTTGAGGACCCCTGATATAGTACATTTCTAGCTTTGGGGTAGCCTCTGCTGATTCTCTCCTGTCCCATGTTTGTGTTGCGTTTAAAATCTGTGTCACAGAATGGTGACAAAGCCCAAACACAGACAAGTCAGGCCAGCAGATTGGAAGAGCCCCCCCCCCAAAAAAAAGTCTCTGCTTATCTGGACTAGCTTCTTCACCACTTGGTAGATGATACAATTTTATCCTGCACCTCCAAAGAATCTGGGAAGGGACATCTTTCACATACAGAAAAGCTTTTGCAACCTCGGTATACATCTGTCTGATTTTATCCGTCCCTGCTTAATTTTGTAACACATCTCAGCCACTTGTGAAACGAGAAGTTGGGCTGTCACAGGTTTACTTCCCGTTTCTGCAGGTGAGACTTCCCTTTGAATTACCCAAGCTTGACTTTTCACAATTGAAACCAGAAGGGCAGAGAGATGAATCGGAGAGATGTTTGGCTAGCCAAGCCAAAACAGAACTGATCCATACATTGGCTGGGCTTGTACAGCACAGGAAGTCATCATGCTCACCCATACATTTTATGTGATGCTCCACTAACCATTTATGGAGGGCACAGATGTGTGATGTTATCCTTAGCTTGCCATTGGCCAGCCACAAGGACAGCTGCTGCCCAACTTTTTGTTGTGTTCTCCAACTTCTACAATGCTTTATTTTGTTGAATGTAGGGTCTCCACCCAGTTGACTGGTGGATGCTGTTGCAGTCATGCTGTCCCCCGTTTCTGGTTAGCAATAGATGCTCTTGATGACCATTTCATACAAGGTTTTGGGGTTGCTTGTCCCCCTTCAGAAAGAACTTTGCCATATAAAGTCTGATTATGTTTTGTTTCGCGAGGAATGTCTCCAGTCTCCACACTTGCAATTCTGCACACTTTGTGGGATATTTGGGGGTAGCCAGTTAGTGCTGGTGAACCAGTTTGAGGTATTGGGGAGCTGGGACCGGAACCCTATCCGTTTCGGTTACTAGCCCAAGTGACAGGACGAATAGCAAAACTTGTCTATCAGTCTTCTTTAAGACTAGAAAATTTCTGTCCAAAAAAATAGTCCAGCTGATAGGTTGGTGGCCTGGAGGACAGCCAAGAGCTTCACCCCACACCCCTCTTCTGTCTCACCAGCCTGTCAGCTTGGTATTTGGTGGAAGAAATTTACAGTCTTATAGGAAGCTGGTAGACAGCATTCTTCTTGTCCCCTAGACTGTAGACGATTAGTAGATCTGCTTTCAGAAGTAGTAGTTCAAGAAGCAGCTCAAGTGAAGGAGCACCTCCACACCAGGGACTGATCACTTGAGCAACTTCAAACTATTTAATGTCTCTATCTCGGCATTCACCCACCGTTATCCAGACATACCCATCTACACTTGCCCAAGTCCATCCCAACAAGCAGGTCTTCTGCTGCTAATCAGCACCGAAGAAGGCGTTCTGTACCTCACCTCTCTTTCCTCACACATTTTGTAGGGACAAAAGCCCCATTGTGCTTCATTGTCAAGGTAGAACAGAAGAGTATAATAAACTTTTAGATTATTTTGCACGATGAAGAGAAAGAAGCAGTTGGAAGTGTCTCCATTCCATGTAATAAACCTAGACGGGGCACACTGCATCTGTTGAACTTGATTGCTAGGACAATGAAAGTATTTATCTTTTCCCATAAAACATTGCTAGTTTGCAACAATCATTGTCCTAAAATACAAAGACGACCGCTAACGTGCAAGCAACTTCACCCATTGCTCTAAGTCAGTGGTGGTGAACCTATGGCACGGGTGCCAGAGGCGGCACTCAGAGCCCTCTCTGTGGGCACGCGCACCATCACCCCAGTCCTAGGCCTTCAGCTGGGTTTTATAAAACCTTTTCACTTCAGGCCTCCGCCGCCGTGTGCAAAAAAAAAAAAAGGTTCAATCAATCAGTCAATTTCAACTTCTCACGGGAAAAAAAAAAGATCTTACAAAGTTGGAATTGATTGAACTTTTTAGTCCCACCCAGTCTGCTGTTACTACCGCTGGCATGCCCACCCAATGGGCCACACCCACCCAATGGGCCACACCCACCCGGCACCCGACGATGCATAAGTGGGTTTTGGGTTACAGTTTGGGCACTCGGTCTTTAAAAGGTTTGCCATCACTGCTCTAAGTCATGTCTTATTTAAACATATTTTATTATATTTAGTTTATTATATTTATTTTTTTATTATTCACAATGGCTGGGCTGGCTTCATGCACCACACCGAGCTACAATTACACAAGTCAGCTAGCATGTGCTAAGCTCTAAAGCCAGACGGTAGTAGTAACCAGTGTGGCTTTGCCTAGAGAAGGCAATGGGACCAGGGATTCCAGTTGCTGAAGGTCACAGCACCGAGCATTCCTTAACGCTTAGCTTGTGGCCTTCACTGATGCATTGGTTTGGCCACCGGGAAAAAAAAGGAGATCGAAGAATGAGATAGAATTGTAGGTTGATCTCTTTTTCTGTTCTCTGAATCACTTCCCATCACTGTTTTTGTACCAGATTTTCAGCCGGCTTTGAACTTAAACTGGCGCATGGATGCTTCAGTGGTTTGAGAATGCTACATGCTGGATCAGATGCAGAAGAAAGGATCCAGGCCTTTTGGGTGTTGGCCTAGTAAAAAGCCAGTTTTACCAGCCCAGCCCTTTGCCTTTCCGAAAGGAAGAATCCACCCAGCATCAGACACCCAACTTAGCCATGAATTGCTGCTATCAGATGGGGGGAAAAGCAAGCAAGGGTTGTGCTTATGGAAAGGCCAACTGCTGTTAGATGTAGCTGTGAAATTGACATGTAGAAAGCCATGGTGCTTTGGTCTCTATAGCTCCTGGGGGGGTCCTGTCTTTCCGCCCTACTGCAAGGCCAGGAAACTACAAGGGAAAAAGGGAAGCATCCAGGATAACAACTCCGTCATTTAGGAAGGTTGGCAACAGTTGCCAAGCACAAATATATGAGGTTGACTGCAGAATATCCTCCAAAAAAGTTTGGACATTTGTTTTAATAAACTAAAGTTTTTAGTCCCCAAGGGGAAAAAATTAATATACAGTAATAATAACAGGAAGCTTAGCTTCAAGTTACTGAAGATGGAATAAGATGCTCACTTTAGAAGACTGGGTAATTTATGAATCTTGGCTCTGATGTCTGCCTTAACACAGGACTGACTTATGATCTAGCTCTGAATTAGGCAGTATTAAGTCTACTGAAAGCTTTCATCCTTGAATGGATCATGGTATATAAAGGCTTTGGAACACGCTGGCACCACTGGCAAGTTAAAATATAGTTTAAAAAGAAAACTCAGATATACATGCCTCATAGCAGAGTTGGGCTCCCATTTCCATCATCCCCACTTTGCAGAGCTTTGGCACCGGTCATCTTTTTGCAGCTCCATCATTGGGTGTATTGGCAGGGACAGATGGGAGCTGTAGTCCAATAACTCGAGCAGATTGGAAGTAGCTGCAGTATTTCTGCGGTATCTTTTTTTTTGTTTTTTGTTTTTTTTCTGAAGCGGAAGCCACGCTAATTAATTGCATCAGAACCCAAAACAGCCTGATGGAACTTTGGAGACATTTATTTATTTATTATGGTGCAAGCTGTTTGGGATTACACTTCTGTTATTTCCTTCTTCAGCCGAGGACATTGACGGAGGCTTTTTACATTCTGTTTATTTGTAACGGGGCTGCTAAATTTGACAAGGCAAATTTATGACAGCCTGGTGATTTTTGCAGTTATAAAACAGCTTACGCTGAGGGATAAAAAAAAAAAAAACAGATTCTCAAAGGAAGGAGAAGAGAAGGTGCTGAGAGATAATATTGACCTTAATATGAAGATGAGCCATCAGATTAGCCCTCTGGGACTGGATTTGTCTTGAGTGACTCCAGAACTCTTTTATAAATCTTTCTGAAGTTTGTTCCTCTGTCAGTCTGATGACCAGAGAAATTTTTCTCCCTCCATCTGCCAGCAAGGCAGAAGAGCTTCATAGCCTATATCAGTGGTGGCGAACCTCTGGCACGGGTGCCAGAGGTGGCACTCAGAGCCCTCTCTGTGGGCACGTGTGCCGTTGCCCCAGTCCTAGGCCTTCAGCTGGGTTTTATAAAACCTTTTCGCTTTAGGTCTCCGCCGCCGTGTGCAAAAAAAAAAAGGTTCAATCAGTTAATTTCAACTTCTCGCGGGGAAAAAAAAGATCTTGCAAAGTTGGAATTGATTGATTGAACTTTTTAGTCCCACCCAGTCTGGTGTTACCACTGTGGCCACACCCACCCGGCACTCGACGATGCATAAGTGGGTTTTGGATTGCAGTTTGGGCACTCAGTCTCTAAAAGGTTCGCCATCACTGGCCTATATGATGCATGCAGACGGTTTCTTCATATCTTAAGAACTATAAATGGCGTGCAAGGAAGTGAAGTATCACTTTACAAAGCCTTAGTACGGCCACACGTGGAATAGTGCATCCAGTTCTGATCACCCACAATATAAAAAAGATTTTGAGATTCTGGAAAGAGTGCAGAGAAGAGCAACAAAGATGATTAAGGGGTGGAGGCTAAAACATGAAGAACGGATGCAGGCATTGGGTATGTCTAGTGACTAGTCTAATGAAAAGAAGGACTAGATGAGACATGATAGCAGTGTTTCAATATCTGAGGGGCTCCTACAAAAAGGAGGGGGTCAACATTTCCAGTGTTGGAGCATTCACAACTTCTGGAGGCAAGTCGTTCCACTGATTAATTGTTCTCACTATCAGGAAATTTCTCCTTAATTCTAGGTTGTTTCTCTCCTTGATTAGTTTCCATCCATTGCTGCTTGTCCTGCCTTCAGGTGCCTTGGAAAATAAATAGCTTGACTCCCTCTTCTTTGTGGCAGCCCCTGAGATATTGGAACAGTGCTATCATGTCCCCCCTTGTCCTTCTCTTCATTAAACTGGACATACCCAATTCCAGCAGCCCTTCTTTATATGTTTTAGCCTCCAGTCCCCTGATCACCTTTGTTGCTCTTCTGTTTCTAGAGTCTCAACATCTTTTTTTAAAGTAGTATTTTTTTTAGTGCTGTGAGTTTATTTCATGCTCCTATACACAAGAATCTGATCTGCTAACGGTCAAGGCAAATTGGCGCTAAATAAGAATCAATGGGATTCACAGAGGCCTGGACTTAGGTCTGTTGTGGATGTATATTGACTCCAGACTGATGACATGTTGGCCCCACCCTTGAGCTCAGCCTGGTCAGCTATAGTAATTTATTTTATTTACTCCATTAGGTGCCGAAGCATGGAAGTTTGTCGCTAGCCACAGAAGCAGGAAGGCACCCATATAAGACTGAGATCATTGGAGGAGTCGTCGTGCAGACACCCATCTCGGTCAACCAGGTGAGACAAAATCGGACAGACCACTTGCTGTGGAGGAACAAGGCAGAGAAGGTCTGCAGCTTCCGATAGAGACGTGCAGTAGAGTCTTAGGGGAGTCTCCTCTGCGTCTTTCATTGAGTAGGGCTGGGAAAAGACCTTTTCTCCAGCCTGTAAGTGGCCTTTTCATGGTTGCATTATTTGGTATGTAGAAATGACCTTGGGAGACGAGGGAAAGTGATGCCGCCTCAGGGATGATCAGATAAAAGGAGAGTTAGCCCACAGCTGAATAATGGGCAGTGAAAGAAACTTAGAAAGGAAGATCTGCACTAACTTGCCAGGTGGTAAAAAGCGAAGCTGAGAGATTTGTACTTTCAGGCTTGTGAGATGCTGTCAGCCTCCCAAGTAGGCCAGACAGGAAAAATGACAACATAATTCTATTTTATTGTAAGGCTACGTTAACAGAATCTCACAACCTTCTTCTCGTTTTTGTCTTCCTGCCCATCTGATTCTGGCCTACTTTTCTTTTCTTTTCTTTTCTTTCTTTCTTTCTTTCTTTCTTTCTTTCTTTCTTTCTTTCTTTCTTTCTTTCTTTCTTTCTTTCTTTCCTTCCTTCCTTCCTTCCTTCCTCTCTCTCTCTCTCTCTCTCTCTCTCTCTTTCTTTCTTTCTTTTCTTTCTCCCTCCCTCCCTCCTGTTCTTCCTTCCCTCCCTCCTCCCTCCTACTCTCCATCCTCTTTCTCTTCTCCCTCCCTCCATCTTTCTATCCCTTCTTTCCTTCCGCCCATCGAAAGTTGAAGGAACCATCCTATACCTGGGTTACTTTGCGTCATGCATCCTCTAAGGAACTTTCCCAAGGAAATCATTTTCATGGCATCTTCCCAACGGGCTGTCTCCAGAGGGTCCATGGGGCGTGCGTGAAAAAAAAAATCAAGATGCTTGATTGTTTTCTGCAATGGAATTCCCCTCCTCTTTTTAAAATATCTACTTTTTTTTTCCCCATATACCGGCCAACCTCTTCTTTCTCCCTACCTGCCAGCTTAATTTTCTCTTACCAGTCCTTCCTTTTCATCTCTGTTTTGGAAATTTCAGTTCCTGCCAGGCTGTCTGTGAGCATCTGCATTGGATGCTACATTTGCCTTGTTCTTTTACAAAGGACAAGTGTCATCATCGTGGGCTGCTGGATGGTGGCTAAGTGTGTGTGCCTGTGTTTGGCTCTCTCCACTGTCTGGAGGGTAGGCCTAAGTTGGCTAAGACAGAAGGGTTTTTGTTATGGGTTCTCCAAGGCCAGAGAGCCTGACGTCTTGACCAAGGGAGCCAGCTACACAGTGTGGTTCACACAGGGGTGCATTGTGTCTGTCTCTTGGGAATCTGTAGAGCTGGAATTACTAAAAAGCACGAAGCAAGCACTTTTGTAATTTATGTAAGAAAGAACATCCCACTTTGTCCTAGACCAGTGTTTCTCAACCTTGACAATTTTAAGGCATGTGGACTTCAACTCCCAGAATTCCACAGCCAGCAATTCTCAACCTTGACAATTTTAAGGCATGTGGACTTCAACTCCCAGAATTCCACAGCTAGCATTGCTGGCTGTGGAATTCTGGGAGTTGAAGTCCACATGCCTTAAAATTGTCAAGGTTGAGAAACACTGTCCTAGACCAAAGCTGTACCCTGAAGTGTCTCTCTTTATTCAACCCCTCTTTAAGGAAAACTAGATTGCAAAGGACTTGTTCCTATTAATCCCCACCCCCCAGCCCCAGTTTTTGGAACCCAATCCATGAGTTTTCTCTGCCTTCTCCATTCCCCTCACATTCTTATTTTGCCTCTTCCTCATGCTTTTTCTTTTCTGTAATTGCTGATCGTTATTCTCTCGGGAGAAAATATTCTGCCCCAACTTCAAAACAAGGGGAAAAAAAACTCCACAAGAATGAGGTCTCTGTTCTCTTGGGTTTTTGTTTTTTATATATAAAAAAATGGGATGGAGCCAATAATGTTAGTCTCTCTTTTCCAAGGGATACATGATTCTGCAAACTTGGAAATTTATCCTTAGCAGTAACATGATTAATTCTTGAAGGTGTGGAGAGAGAGGTATGCAGAAGTTGCTTCCGCTCTGATTTAACCCCATTCTGGCTACAGATTTCAGCAGATTTTGCAACTCTGAAGGAACGAATAGGTTCTTTGCTTCCTAGAAAAAAAATAATAATGAGGTTTTCAGGAAGGTAATTCTGCAGCCAGAAATCACAACAACTGCTTTCTTTCCACTGAACAGCAGAATACATTCAACCATATCTATTCTGCTGAAAAATATCAATTTATACAAGCCATAAGGCTCGGTATACTGTTTTGTACACTGCCTTGGAAAGCAATTCACTTTTAATTTTATATAATACTAGCTGTACCCAGCCACGCGTTGCTGTGGCTCAGTCTGGTAAAAGCGTGTGTTGCTTTTACGCCCAACAGATGGCGCTGTTTTTCAAAAAAAGCATGTTTTTACCTGTCACAGGTGTGACATCTATATAATATAGGTATATAAAAAACACGCGCGTATTCGAATGCAACGTTGTGTCAAAATTTCAAAGCAATCGGTGAAGAACTGTCGGAGATTTAAGATTTTGAACAAACGAACATTTCATTTTTATTTATATAGATAGGACAAAGTGCTGATACAATTAATTGCTCTTGTGGTTGTGGCCACCATCTTCACTCTCCTGACATTCCCCATGGTTCCTCCTAATGGAAAAGTGGTTTTAGATAGAAAGAAATAGAAGTTGCCCTTCCTCTAAGTCAAGGACTTGTGTGTGGCCATTGTGTGTGGCCATTGTGTGGCTTTCTTCACTGGGCACTTCAAAAAAGTTTGGAAGGGAGACGATCCTGGAGAGGGTGGGGCCAGGAAGAAAGCTACATGAAATAAAGTTTAATTAAAATATATCAAGTAATTAAATAGATTAAACAGAGCAACTGTGATTATTCCTCATGTATTTCAGCGTTTCCTCTTTTACGGTATTAAAAAGAAGCATTGGGTGGCTACCTTTGTAAAGACCGTAGGAGCCTCACCCAACTTTTTCAGGAATGACAGCAACTTGGGATTGGCAGTTGCACGTCTTTGCACTGAAGAAGTACGTTTTCTTGGAATAACTTAGTGAGCTCGGATTAGTTTAATGAGCAAGGTGATGTTTATTCATGGAGCTGTGGTTGAAAGAAGAACTGCAGGGGTGTTCCTTGAAAACCTGGCAACTTTAAGTAGAAAAGATGTAGATTAAATTAATGGGCAGTCTTAGGGCAACCAGGTCTGTGTGGAACTAAATATAAGCGCAGGTTCTGCATGGGAATCTTGGCTGAATATATGTCAGGGGTGTCAAACTGCCGGCCCGTGGGCCGGTTTCATCATACCGGAGCCACGCCCACCCCATTGCCGGCAACGGCGAAAAAGCTTCGATACGTTGCGCGATGTCACGTGACATCGCGAGTTTGACATGTCTGGTATATGTGAATCGGGGGCAGAAACCTCCTGAATATCCTCTGACTCCTGAATGCCCATATCATGCCCACTTGTCAGGTGCAAAGGATCAGAACTATTTGTTAAGTTGCGGTACAGAAGATTTATTCAAGCCTATAAAGAAGAATCTAATCAACTAAAATTCAATACTAAATTGGTATTGGATAATGCTGGCTGGGAAATTCTGGGAGTTGAAGTCCACAAGTCTTAAAGTGGCCAAGTTTGAGGACCCCCTTGTCTTCCCTTCTCTTTTTTTTCCCCTTGCAGAATGGAGGAGATGGCTCTGAAGGCCACGAGCTTTCATCTCACCCTTTGTTGAAGCGGTCCCAGAGTTACAACCCCGGTACCAAAACACCAGTGGGACCTGTAGCCCTCAAGAGCGGTTATTGTGTCAAGCAAGGGAACGTAGTAAGTGTCTTTTTGACTATCATGGTCGTTATCTCGCTGGATAGTTTTTGGACGAGGAGATAATGTCAAGGGATGATGTTGTTAGGAAAAGATTCTGAAAGGAAAGAGAAAATGAAAATACAAGTAGCTCTTGACTTACAACCACCATTGATTGAACCCAAATTTTCAATGCTAAGCGAGACATTTGTTAAGCACCTTTGGGAAAACCTTGATCTGGACGACTGAGAATCTCCGTAGACACGTAAGATGGCAGCCATCACACTGCAGCTGAAGCTGGACCTTCAGTCAGGCCACACAAATATAAAAAACCAATGCAGGTTCTTAACAGCCATTAATCTGCTCAGAATGTCCTCTGTGTTACATGGAGTATTTGGAAGAACAATTTAAAGGCTTTTAAAAGGGATTCTTTTTGTCTTTCAGAGAAAGAGCTGGAAGCGTCGTTACTTCATGCTGGATGAAACTTCTGTCAACTATTTCAAATGCGAGCAGGTAAACAATCCAGACCTTTCAAAGCTGTGATCTGGACTCATTTTCTCTCTTCCCGGATGGCTGCAGATTCTCTTCCTTAGGACCAAGAAGAGGTGTTCTCCACGCTCTTCTAAGGACATTTCATTTTGATATCAAAAAAGGATATTTGTCCTACGTCTGCAGTGGTGAAATCAGATTAGGACCGATAGGGGTTAAAAGTGTTGCCGATGCCTCCGAAGCTTTTAAGTTTCTTCAAGATCTTGTGATCAGGTCTTGTGTTGTTTTAGAGCAGGGGTTCTCAACCTGTGGTCCGCGGACCCCTGGGGGGGCCGTGATGTCATCAGAGGGGTCCATGAAGGCTTGAAGAAATGTTATGATTTAAATCTTGAGTTAAATCTTGGTGGTCCGTGGTCATGGTCTGTGGCCACGCAAGATATTTAAAAGGGGTCCGTGGTGAAGAAAACATTTAGAGAAAAAAGTAATATAATACTTGGAAGAGATTATTCTATACTCTCTTTCTCTAGCAGTGATTAGGTTCATAAAGGATGCAATGACACGGCTGCTTAATTGTGGGTTGGTGATTCAGCAATAATTGGCTGGATTCCCATAACTTTGCTAAGCCATAAACCATTGTTAGTAACCCCTGCAGGTGGATTTGTGCAACAGACTGAATCAAAACCAAGAAAGCCACCCGCTTAGCATAATGTAAGAACTAGGTCTGCAAGAGAATACTAAACTAGTCTTAAATTAATCCATCGCACTAACCCAAGAAACGCTTTAAAACAACAGATACCAAAACTGAAACATAAGTTCATTGCGAGAAGAAAAAACGAGCAAAACACTATTGTTAAAAAAAATATGCAAGTGTTATGTTTGAAAGTTGTAACTGAAGACAGTTAGCAAAAAGCCATGCTTCTCTGTTGCACAAAACTAGCAAAGATTCATTTTCTGATCTGATAGGGGGTTTTTTTTTCTCCCACATTTTGGGGACCAGAATGTAGTTCATCTGTTATTGGTGATGAAATTAATTGTAATCCCCCCAAATCAATGCATTTCCACAGATGTATCATTCCACAGTTGTATCTTTGCTAAAAAAAACAATATTGAATATTGTGTCATTTATAAATGTTATTCTTGGCTTTTCATCTACCTTCCAACCCACACAGTATCTGCTCTCATCTGTTGGCTAATTTTGCACTGCCCTGTTGGATTTGCTTCTCTTGTCAGGATAAAGAGCCCTTGCGGTCAATCCTCCTGAAGGATGTTCTGAAGACTCATGAATGTCTCGTCAAATCTGGGTAGGAGTGTTCTTGATATTTGGGCATTTTATCTTTAGCGTTGGCATTTGTTCTGCCAAATAGCTTGCAGAATGGGTCCGTATTTAGAGACAGGGAATGTTCTGCTTTGGTTTGTGTGCCATCTCACACAAACCACGACACCAACTCATTTCACTGGGCTCTACGCACGGTCACTCAAGCCCTCGTTGTTTCCCGCCTGGACTATTGCAACGCTCTCTACATGGGGCTCCCCTTGAGGTGCACCTGGAGGCTCCAGCTAGTTCAGAATGTGGCCGCCCGGGGGATCCTGGGGGCCTCTAGATACTCCCATGTAACACCTCTCCTGCGCGAGCTGCACTGGCTGCCTGTGGCCTTCCGGGTGCACTTCAAGGTGTTAGTAACAACCTTTAAAGCGCTCCATGGCAATGGACCTAGGTATTTGCAAGACCGCCTCCTACCAAACACCTCCCTTCGACCAGTCCGCTCCCACAGAGAGGNGGGCCTCCTTAGGGTGCCGTCGGCCAGACAATGCCGGCTGGCGACCCCCAGGGGGAGAGCCTTCTCTGTGGCAGCTCCTGCCCTCTGGAATGACCTACCCCCCGACCTACGTACAGTTGCGGACCTGCGCCTTTTTCGCCGAGCCCTGAAGGCCCATCTATTCCGTGCGGCCGGCCTGGCGTAGTTTGATTATGTTTTAATGGGGTTTTTTGTATGGGTGTGTTTTTAGAACAGGCCCGTTATTTAATTTGATTTTAGAACTGCCTATATTTATCATGGTTTTTATTATCGCCTGTTCACTGCCCTGAGTCCCGTAAGGGAGATAGGGCGGTATATAAATTCAATAAATAAATAAATAAATAAATAAAAATGGTACCTGAACTTCCCTCCCATAAGATGCTTTTTGATATAGAGGTGATCCAATACAATGTGTCTCATTAAGGCATTGTATGTTGCTCCTGAGACCTATTCAGTTGAAGGATCATCCCGGTGAGAGCCTCAGACACAACACCAATCAAAGCCACCGATTCCAATTTCAGTTAATATTAATATTGAATTACTTCTTTAGAGAAGTTGGCATTCAGAAAAACGTGCAGTTAATGTTAAGGTTAATACTTCTTTTTTGTTGTTGTTGTTGTTTTTCAAGTGACCTTCTAATGAGGGACAATCTCTTCGAAATTATAACAAGCTACCGGACCTTCTATATCCAGGTAAAATATATGTATTACGATATAGGAAACGCGGTCTTGCAAATTTCCATTGTCTGGAAGTTGTTTAAGCCTTCTTCCAAAGAATTTTACAGATTGCGAAACTTCCAGATGTTGCTGAGCTGTAACTTTCAGCATGGCCAGTGATGATGGGTGCTGGGATTTGTAGTTCAACAATTAGAGGAGGGCTACCTGTTTCCTCGTTTTGAACTGAAGCTTGTGATCACTCGAATATATTTGACCATACATGAAAAGTATCTGAATGGAAACCTGAAGTCAGATTCAATTCAAGAAATTGAGAGTAGAAGAATTATATGGGCCTCTCAACTCTTCTTTCTGATTTTTCTTTCTCTCTGCTTGGATTAGCTAATCCTTATGTTTCTTCTAATGTCACAGTTCTGTGAAATTTATGACTATTTTCTTGTTGATTTTCCATGAGAGCTGAAGTAATTGTCAATAACTGCAGGGCAGTTTTGCAGGACAGTTTCTGCAATGACTCCTGATACTGGGGATCCCACTGTCCCTTTTATTTGCTCATACGTTTCTCTTTTGAAGGTGAAGAAGGTATGTTAGCACTACTGGAGTAGCTTCATAGTTTGTGTCCTGGTTAGGGTGTTCTCAGCTGTGTTGTACTCTTCTTCCAGTTTTTTTTAATCTTTTTTTTACCTATTTCTTCATAACTGCATTTTATGCCTACAACATTTTCCATACTCTCATTTGATTGGCATGTTCAGGTACATAAAGGAGAGCTACAGGGAACATGGTCAAGAACTATTTGCCATGGCCCTAGTACGTAGGACCAAAAATAATGGTTACAACTTACACTATCTAATTAAAAGAAAAAGAAAAACCTCTTGGCCATAATATTTGTACAACAGATGTATCTATGGACACCAGTTTTCCATCTCTGAGGCTCGCAAGAAGAAGCTGGACAGTCATCACTCATAAATTATTTCAGTGGTTCCCTGCCCATTGCAGAGGATGGAAGATCCTTGTGGTTCTTTCAGCTCTATAATTCTCCTTCAGGAAGGTAGAAAATCAAACAAAAAATCCCAGATATTCACAAATAGTATACGCAAGTACACTAGCCAGCTAATTACAAGGTTGTCCTCTCGCCATTTAGAGTTCAAAGGCCTTGCAGAATAACCAGTCTTCCTGAAGAACAGGAAGTTGAAGGCATCCCACATTCAGAAGGCAAGATGTTCTAAATGTGGGTCTACGAAGGAACATCACTGGGATTCCAACTCCTTTCCAGGCATTGGGGTCTGGTTTCTATACGCCTTCTGTTCACTGAAGTCAGGATGCTGGGCATTTTAGAAGACCATCCATAGAACTTCCTAGCAGGTTTTCCTTGTTGAAGGTTTCAGAACGTCCTACAAGGCTGGTAAATCTTCGCGTGTTTAAAAATGGATTCCTCGTGGAGAAGGCAGTGTTTTTTAATTTAGTTTGCGAGGCCATCAATTTAGCTTTGTGACAGTTGAAGGCATTCTCCCCCTGCCAAACTGGTTGCTTTGTTGACAGGCTGTCAAGCAGAAAGGGTAAACGAGGTGAGACTTAATACACAGTCCATTTTAGCCTAGGGAGAGATGAAGTGCGAGAATCCAGCTATTGCCACAGTTTCACTTCTTCATTTCATCATATTCGTCATGAAAGTTATTTGTCCAGGTGTAGAACAGAGCCATAAACACGGGGATTTATGTAAGATTGCAGTAAGAGAGCTTTCCCCAGATACGAAATGCTTTTCAGGTGTGTGTTGGGACAACATTTAGCAAGCACCAGATATTAGGAAACGAAGAGTTGTGTGCAACTGAGAGAAAGCACTTTACAGACACTAAAAATGAGGGGTCCTTGGTGGTCTCTGAGCTTGGTTGTTTTCTTGCAGGTGTTTCATTACTCAAACTAGGTAACATCTGCAAGAAAACGACCACGCTCAGAGACCCCCAAGCACCAATATTCTCCTTTATTGAGACTCTAGAAATGTTCTCAAAAATTAATACAAAATTCTCAAGATAATCTCATAGGGTGCTTGTCTAGAAGAATTCTGGAGAGATGCAATATCTTCTTGTCAAGAATATCTTGCATCCTTTTTTTAAGTACCACCGCCTGAAATTCATAGAATCACAGGCTGGAAGGCACCTCAGAGGTCTTCTAGTCTAACCCCCTGCCTTAGGCAGGAGTCCTTATTCCATCCCAGACAAATGGTTGTCCCCTTTTTTTTCTTGAAAACCATCAGCGACCGAGAGCCTACTCTCCCAGCATTTCTCAGATTGAAAAGTCAAAATAATCGTGACGATCTGAATTGCAGTCAATGGCTGTCCAAGATCTGAGACAGCTGAAGTCCTCTTTTGAAATCTGCAGACTGCAAACAGGTTTGTTTTGAATTAATTTGAGCTAATTCAACGCCTGTCTCCCCAAGAACACTTTTGGAATTTGGACAATGTTTTTCAGCCATACTCCAAATAAAAGCCTTGTGGGGAAGAGGGCTGCATATTTGCACAGTGACTGACATGGGAAACTTAACTAAGTTATAATGCACCAATTAAGCAGAATGCAACTGCCACCCCTCGGGCCCCTTCCCCTACCCCATTCCTCTCTGTACTTTTGGAGTGATGGGCAAATCCTCAGCCTTCAACCGTTCAGTGTTCTTTTCTAAGATAGCCTTAGGGGCTTTTTGCAAATTGAGTCGATGACAGTGAATAGAACAGAATAACAGAGCTGGAAGGGACCTTGTAGGTCAGGGGTCCTCAAACTTGGCCCTTTTATGGCGCGTGCCTGGCTGAGGAATTCTGGGAGTTGAAGTCCACAAGTCATAAAAGGGCCAAGTTTGAAGACCCCTGTTGTAGGTCATCTAGTCCAACTCTACGCCCAAGCAGGAGACTCTACACCAGGGGTCGTCAACCTTGGCTCTTTTATGACTCGTGGACTTCAACTCCCAGAATTCCTGAGCCAGCTTAGCTGGCTCAGGAATTCTGGGAGTTGAAGTCCACGAGTCATAAAAGAGCCAAGGTTGACGACCCCTGCTCTACACCATTTCTGACAGATGCCAGTCCAGTCGCTTCTTGAAAGCTTCCAGTGATGAAGCTCCCACAACTTCTGATGGGTTGTGGCTAATAGTGTGTTTTTCCACACATCATTTTCTCTCCCTTTGGATTCGAAGAACGGCTTAGAAACAGAGGAGGTCAAGGTGGGGCAGAGTCAAACACCAAAAGAGTTGTCCAGGTGTACCTTTGGTGCCCATGGATGCTTTGTTGAAGGTCTGAGCTTAGGGGTACGCTAAGGATTAAGAATAAAAATAAGAATAATAGAGTTGGAAAGGACATTGAAGTTCTCCTAGTCCAACCCCCTGCTCAAGCAGGAGACCTTTTCCACTTCAGATAAATGGCTGTCCAGTCTCTTCTTAAAAACCTCCAGTGATGGAGCACCCACAGCTTCTGAAGGCATTTCCTTCAGAAATTTCCACTGTCAGGAAGTTTTCTCCTTAGTTCTAGGTTAGATCTGTCTTTGATAAGCTTCCATCCATTACTTCTTGTCCTGCCCTCAGATGCTTTGGAGAATAGGTTGACCCCCTCTTCTTTGTGGCAGCCCCATAGATATTGGAACACTGTTATCATGTCACCCCTAGTTCTTTTCTTGTGATATAATAATAATAATAATAATAATAATAATAATAATAATAATAATAATAATAATAATAATAATATAATGATAAGAAAGACAAAAAAGTCTGGATAGTGGACGTGGCAATGCCTGGAGACAGCAGAATAGACGAGAAAGAACTGGAGAAGATAACAAAATACAAAGACCTACAAATAGAAATAGAAAGACTGTGGCAAAAGCAAGCAAAGGTAGTACCAATAGTAATAGGCGCCTTGGGTGCAATCCCAAAACAACTGGAGCACCACTTGAACACCATTGGCATTGACAAATTCACCATTAGTCAATTGCAAAAGGCAGCCTTACTAGGAACTGCTTCCATCCTGCGACGATATCTGTAATACCATCAAACATCCACATCTGCCTATCCCAGGTCCTTGGGAAGGATTCGATAGGTAGACAAAAATGCCAAATCCAGTCTGAACATCTGGCTGACTGTGCGATGATCAATAATAATAATAATAATAATAATAATAATAATAATAATAATAATAATAATAATAATAATAATAATAATAATAATAATAATAATAGTAAAGTTGGAAGGGACCTTGGAGGCCATCTAGTCCAACCTCCTGCTCAGGCAGGAAACCCTATACCATTTCGGACAAATGGCTGCCCAGTCTCTTCTTAAAAACTTCCAGTGTTGGAGCATTCACAGCTTCTGGAGGCAGGTTGTTCCACTGGTTAATTGTTCTAACTGCCAGGAAGTTTCTCCTTAGTTCTAGGTTGCTTCTCTCTCCTTGATCAGTTTCCACCCGTTGCTTCTTGTCCTGCCTTCAGGCGCTTTGGAGAATAGCTTGACTCCTTCTTCTTTGGGGCAGCCCCTGAGATACTGGAACACGGCTATCATGTCTAATCGTGCAAAGCCTGTAGCTTGAAGAGGTCCCAGAAAACTTGGCCTATTTTTCTCAAACAGCACAGAAAATGTCCTCACTGGCTATTTTCTTTCATTTGCACTCTCCCGCGGGTGCTTTAAATAGTAGGAAATCCAGGTGGAGGTCACGTTATTTTCCATCTTTTGCAATGACTCAGCTCAGATTCTGTGGAGGGCAAACTTAAGTGTGCAGGACACAGAAAAGTGTGCCTGGGAATTGGTGTACCTCTATGAATGTGAATTTGTGTGCGAATGATTTGGAAGGGAAGAGCAGAATCAATGGAGTAGGTGGCAGATGATTTTAAGAATGGCCTTTGCAATGCAGATTGCTGGCTTGTTTTGCACCTGCCCAGGAGTTACGCTTGGTTGTGTTTTGTTTACTGGGTAAGCAACTGTGTGGGGAGCAGTTGTGCAAGAGAGCGTGGCTCCCATCTATTTGAGGAAAACGGTGGTTCTGCAAGAGTGTGCATTTTGGCTAGTGTGTATTCCTGCGGTCTCCAGCTACACGAGCCTTGAGTGCTTTTCGATTAAAGCAGTGCTCTCCGAACTTAGCGACTTTAAGACTTGTGGACTTCAGATCCCAGAATTCTTCAGCCAGCCATGGATTGGAAGCCCACAAGTCTTCCAACTTGCCAAGTTTGGAGACCCCTGAATTAAAGTATATGGTAGAGCCACCAACTGAAGGAGAGGAAGCCCTGACAGGGGGAGTTAAAAGACATTTCAGCTCAGAGTCTGGGGGAAGAAATGTTTGAGGTCAAACCCTTAGGTTCCATCTGATCTTCCCAAGTCTGGAGAGTCTGTGCAGTCTAGAGAGATTCTTGTAAGCTGGTGATCAACAATAAAAAAAAACCCCTCTGACCCATTCTCAAAGCTATTCTGGTTGCTTGCACCTGAGAAAGCATGAGATAATGGAGAACCCACCTGACCTGCTTCCCTTAGCTGAGCACCAAAGGATCCTACTCCAATTTGCCAGACTCACCTGATGGTGCACATCTTTTTAAGGTAGGGATGGATAAGCTTCAGTCTTGCATGTAGCTCTCCATCCCCTTTTCCAGGGTCCCTATAATTAGTTAAGCAAGCAACATACTTTTTCCTGACTTAAGGTATCAATGGAAATTGATGATGAAGATGGTAGCCTCCCCACTGTACATGGATGGTCTCTGGAGACAGTTGACCGTAGCCCAACAAATGAGTTGTGGCTTCCAGGATAAGAAAGATGGGCTGTTCCTAGTCTGGCTTAATCTTGTCTCCTTGTTGCAGCAATTGCCTAAACCAGGGGTAGTCAACCTTGGCTCTTTTATGACTCGTGGACTTCAACTCCCAGAATCCGTGAGCCAGCCAAGCTGGCTCAGGAATTCTGGGAATTGAAGTCCACGAGTCATAAAAGAGCCAAGGTTGACTACCCCTGGCCTAAACCTTTAACCTGAGTATAGAATTCTCAGCCAATGGAGTCAAAGACATTTCCTATACATCTGGAGAGCAACAGCTGGAGGAGGAAGAATCAGAGTAGCAAAAAATAGTTCCTTTCCCTGAATGTTTTAGTTGTGATTCCACTGTCTTTTTCTTTTTTCTTTTTGTCCTTTCCGGTCTAGTGTGTACATATTTATTTATTTATTTTCTGGGTACTAAAGCAATTAATTTAAATGCAAATAGCCAGTCATTAGCCACCCATAGGGTTGTCTGTTGACCTTGCGTGGTGCATAGTCCTAGGGCTGTAGTGATGTTAATTTAATGTGTGCTTACGGCTAAATGCAGTACTGTAAATCAATACAATATAATACCCTTCAGCATCCAATCTTTGCAATATCAGCCACTATCAAAAGAAAACAGTAAAGTAATAAAAACAAGACATTTCCTAATGTTAGCACAACCATTAATATTAGCATCACGCAATTACAACCAAAGATCTATTAGCTTCATAAAGGACTTGCAGAAGTTGTATTTTAAGGGCTTTTTAAAACTTCAGGATATCGCGTTCCAGCTATTAATCCAGGCAGAATTCATCCAGAGGGCAGAATGAGAGGTTTCATTCGTAGTTTGTTAGATCAGGGGTCCCCAACCCCCGATCCGTGGACCGGTACTGGGCCGCGTCATGCCAACAACCGGTCTGCACAAACAAGCAAAGCCCCATCCGTGAGTTGCAGGCAGCACACAAAACCACACACTCTCTGGTCCGTGGAAAAACCTCTCTCCACGGAATCGGTCCCTGGTTGGGGATCTATCTCTGTGTTAGATTAGCCACTTCTATTTTTTAAAAAACGTATTAATCAGAATCTAGCAAGATCTGCATTTTTGCTAAGTGGGATTCATATACATGCATCACATTTAGTTCCAGATCTCATATCTGCCCTCTGGTGGATCTTTCCATAGTGGCCAGAACTTAAATAAGACATTGAAAATTTAGGCAAAAAGGTTTAGAAAGGGCCTTTCCTCACTTCTACCCACCTGTTAGGTTCCTTAAGAGATGCCACATTTGAACAGAAGTCAACAATTCAAGCTTATAAAAAGATTAAATCTGAACTAGGGAATCCCGAGTGCAGGCTTGCTGAAATCCATCCCAGCGTCCTAACCACACATATACTCTTGTGACCCATTAGGTCTCCAATCCTGACAATTCCTAACGATTCCTAATTGCTAAGTCATAACATAAGACCTAATTAGGAATTGTTAGGAACCGTGAGGGTTGGGGACCTAATGAGTGAAGAGTATGGTGACTTGTGTGGTTAGGACACTGGGATGAATTTTAGCAAGCTTGCGTTTGAGACCCGAGTGCTGCTGTGGGGCGGGCTTGAGCTCCCATCCTTCACTCTAGCTCTGCTGGGGACATGAAAAGAGCCCTCCACTGGGGGTCTCCAGGGCAACGGTGATGTCACCGTCTAATTCAGGGGTCCTCAACCTCCGGTCCGTGGATCGGTACCGGGCTGCAGCATGCCAGCAACCAGTTCACACAAACAAGCAAAGCCCCATCCGTGGGATGCAGGCAGCACACAAAACCACGCCCCCTCTGGTCCGTGGAAAAACCTCTCTCCAAGGAACCGGTCCCTGGTGCCCAAAAGTTTGGGGACCTCCAGTTTAATCCTTTCAACCCTGATGTGCCTTGGTGCTTCTGACACAAGTGGAGAACTTAATGGGTCTAGGTGTAAAGGAATGTGAAACAGACTTTTTCTGATTTTAACAAAGAAACTAATTCATCAGAAAATATCCACGAATTTCACTTCACAGTGCTCTAGATGGTGTCTTTTTCCTTTTCTTTTCCCATAGGCCTACAGCCCTGAAGACATGAAAAGTTGGATCAAAGAGATTTCGGGTGCGGTGCAGGCATTAAAGAGCTGTCCCAGAGTAGGTCAAATTCTTTCCACTTTGACTACGGCATCAGTTCGCTGTTTTTGTTTTGCTTCTTTGAAGCGGAGGTCATCTGTTTTCATAATGTCAAGCAAACATTTGAAAAAGAGCTCATTTCCAGAAGAGTTTTCTCCAGCCCTCTGAATAAATAAATACATACCGTAAATAACAAGAGCACAAATGGACTGCAGGGAACGAAGGACAGGGAAAATTAGAGGCGTGGGTCAGTAAGCTATCTGCAGCTTTGGGCCATTATCATGAGACATTTGGCCAAACTTTAGAGTTAGGTAACTTCTTGTCAAACAATCCAAGCTCCAAAAACCTTTTAACTCTCTTTCCCATTCCCCAAATTTTGAGATTTGTCTCTGTTCGTTTTAAGCCGAGGAGCCGATGGCATGGGTGAAGTATCTTAGTAAATGATTAAAGTCTAACTCTCATCAACCTCAGCCCCATGATGAAGAATGAGGAAGACTACCTGTATTGATTCTTAGCTGGCACTAATCTTCTGGTTTTTGTCTTGCAGGAAATGCCTTTGGTGAGATCAGTGTCAATGGATAAACGAGGAAGTCCCACCTTGTCCAGCTCCACCACGTCGTCCATTGCGTGGCTAAAGCAGCGAGGAGAGGAGTCCAGGGTTGGTCACAAAGGTCCCTCCACTTCTTGCTGGCTGCCCTGGATGCCTGTGCCACAGTTGGAGGAGAAGCAACAGCCAGCATCCAAGGAACAGGCTGAAGAGCTGAGCAACTCTGGGTTTGCCCCTGTGTCTGCTGAACGAGATGCTGGTGAGACCCAGGTCAGGCGTATCCGACACAGGTCGGAACCCCAGAGCTTTAAAGAGCACCGCTTTCTGATTGACTTGGAGGATGAAAACATCCGAACCTCAGATGTGTGATTGTGCAGCAAGGCGGACGTTGCCAGGAAACAGGCATTTTAAGGATGGGATGTTCTGGATGAACACTAGTTAGCTTGCACCAGCTCCAGACGGAACAGATACTGCAACGCAACAAATTTAAAGCGGAGAAGAATCTACACTTACATGTGGATTGTATGTTCTGCTGGAGTCTTCTCCAGATCAAGCACAAGTCAGAGGGTTGCCAGAATATTCAAGATGATCCCTGTTTCAAGTTTGTTGAGGATGCAGAACCATACAAAGGGTTCTCACATTCACCACGAGAAGCTGTTCCTTCCGCCATCATTGCTTCCTGTCTGGTGAAGGGAAGCCCACATTGTTCAGTTGGAGGCCTTGATAAACATGACGCTTTCCTGTCTGTTTGTGCAAAAAGGCTTTACTAGAATTACCTGGACCGTACAGCAACTTAGTATATCTACTCTTCCTGTTCTGGTAGCTTGATCAGTGGATGAATTGAAGGCAGTTCACCTTGTTTAATGTCCAAATCTTAGGCTAGGAAGAGAGCTTGGAATTCCTTCCTTCCTTCCTTCCTCCCTCCCTCCCTCCCTCCTTTCTTTCTCTTAAGGATGAAAGTCTCAGATGAGAATATGAGGTTCCGGTACTTACCTGAGTTACAAGCTAGCCAAGATGTTGAGCTCTTTATAATATAATTGTATGTAGCAGGTAGCTTGGCTACCAAAAGCAACATGGCAAAGTGAAAAACACCCCTCAGCAAATTCTAAGAAAATTCAACAGCAGCCTGGCAATAAGGTATGCATAAAAATCTATACCGAAGAAAGGAATTTTCAAGAAATTGGAGAGAGGAAACAGAGCAAAGACATCCTCATTGAAACAGCATCTTTTTCAGTTCTTCTCTGGGGCCTGTGAGACTGTGAAAATAATAATAATAATGGAGATACCAAAAAGGTTTTTTCCGTAGTGAATATCAAGTGGTACTTTAGTATTGAGCAATGAGGTTGTCGTATGCTGGGCCATACCAAGTAATTGTTTTAATGACTGCCCAGGATTGATGGAAGATTCCAAATTGGGGTCTTTCCCAGTAACCTTTGGATCCTGGGGACCTGGGAAGGGGTGCAAGCAGGTGATATCCCCCGACACTTTGATCTATCGTGACAGTAGTGGAGATGATGAACACCTTGCAAGGAGCAGGAAGATGTAGATCTTGCTTAGCTTTTGCAAGACTGTTTCTTCCTCCTTTGGAATTTCCAAGGACAGCTGGGCTGGAGGGCAGAAGAAATTCAGTTCAGAAAAGGTGGGAATTCAGGAATACCTGGCTGTCACACAAAGGAGGAGAAAGGATGATCAACAGGACAACAGACATTGAAGAACCACCCTTCCAAAACAAAGTCCAGCTTCTTGCTTTGTTCTCATGTTAAGTCTTTCCCAAACTGGGACCTTGCAAGCTGCAGCTACCGTGCTTTCATTTGGGGAAAGCTACGATAAACGAAGATGAGTTCCTAGTCTGTACTAAGTCAGCAGGTACAGGAAGTTCTGGATGATGAGTAGTTGGAGGAGGCAAACTCTTCTACGTAGATCTATTTCCATTCCTCAATATTCTCCTGCTACTGGCGAGAATCCCAATGTAGCCATCTTACTCCCCTTAAAGAAAACACAATTTCAGGAGACATTGCAAGCACAGCAGTGGCGGTACAGATTTGCGACTTGAAAATGCACAATGCTTATCTTGACTTCCAACAGTTGGCAGGAAGCGTGTTTTGCAGCACATGCGAAGGAACCACGCTCCTGTTTTGAGCCAGAGGGCTTACGGTTAAATCCTGTGTTCAGGTGTGCAAAGACTACTCTCTTGCAGAATATTGTGAAATGTCTGTGAGATCAAGATTCTCAGGTGTGCATCTTTTTGTACCTCAGTCAATTCAGGAACATAAGGAGGTTGGGTTTTTTTAATATGAAAAAAAAAATGCAGCATGATCTCTCCTGTTGAGCCAGTTGGGTATTTTGCTGTTGCTTCCAGATTGGGTGCCAAGCATTTGGCCAAAATAATATTTGCTTGCGATGCGACGCTGTCGGTGAGTTCGAATCCCTAACCATCGTGGATATTGCAAGGGAAGAATAGTGACTGAAATCATCTACATTATTCTTACCTCCTCAAAGGGGGGAAAAAAAGGAAAACGAAAACTTTAGCTGCAGCCCGTGTAATTTAGAGAATTTGAATAATTTGCATCTTTTTTTTTCCCCCTTTCTGATGTCATGGAATTCTTGCAATGGGCATAACTTGGTTTGCAGCCTTGTGTGAAGGCTGCTATTCAGACCTGGAAGTAAGCTGCAAAACTCAAGTTAAGAGATCATGCTGCTCTTTGGTTTTATCATTCATAATACAGAGGCAAGGAAGGAGAAAAGCAGGGTAATAAAGCATTATGTTGTGGGCCACCTGATTTTTTTTTTTTTGACACCCGCTGGAAGGTGTGCTTTTTACTTGTAAACGAGTCCTGTGATGTTAAATGGGGTTTGTTCCCAAATCAATAGACCCACAATTGCAGCTTTCATCTTCTACTTCTTTGCTCTGGAGATTTTTTTAGCCATTGTTAATACATAAAATTATGACCAGAATTTTGCGCTGTCTCTCTCTCTCTCTTTTTTTCTTCTCATGTTGGATTTCAAGTAAAATTAAATATTGTGTGCTGGTACAGGCAGTCCTCAACTTACGACCACAGCTGTGCCCTAAATGTTTATTGCTAAAAAGTGAGATTTGCCCCATTTTTATGACCTTTCTTGTTGTTAAATGAATCGCTGCAGCTGTTAAGTTAGCAACCTGGTTGTTAAGTGACTCTGTCTCTCCCATTGACTTGGCTTGTCAGAAGGCTGTGAAAGGGGATCGCGTGACCCTGGGACGATGGAACCATCATAAGTACATGCTAGTTGCCGAGCATCCAAATTTTGATCACATGACCACGGGGATATGGCAACGGTTACAAGTGCGGAAAAAAAATGGTCCTGTCACTTTTTTTCCAGTGCTGTTATAACTTCGAACGCTCATGGAGTGAACCGTCGTAAGTTGAGGACTACCTGGACTGCATTCAGCACTCTTTTATACTGCCCTCAACTTACGACTACAATTGGGGACCAGAATTTCCAGTGGGTGTTAAGCGAGTCGGGCATGGTTTTACAACCTTTTCTGCCATAATCGTTAAGCGAATCTGTGCAGCTGTTCGGTAAATCAGAATAGCAGAATAACAAGAGTTGGAAGGGACCTCAGAGGTCATCTAGTCCAACCCTCTGCTTGAGCAGGAGACCCTATACCATGTCAAGACAAATGGCTGTCCAGTCTCCTCTTAAAAACTTCCACTGTTGGAGCATTCACCGCTTCTGGAGGCAGGTTGTTCCACTGGTTAATTGTTCTGTCAGGAAGTTTCTCCTTAGTTCTAGATTGCTTCTCTCCTTGATGAGTTTCCATCCGTTGCTCCTTGTCCTGCCTTCAGGCGCCTTGGAGAAGAGCTTGACTCCCTCTTCTTTGGGGCAGCCCCTGAGATACTGGAACATTGACTCTCATGTCCCCCCTTGTCTTTCTCTTCATTAAACTAGACATACCCAATTCCAGCACCCGTTCCTTATATGTTTCAGCTTTCAGTCCCCTAATCATCTTCATTGCTTTGTCTCCGGCTTCTCCAAGAAAGGGGTTTTTTAAGGGCTACTTGTCAATGGCATCTGGGCTGTCTCTCAAAATTAGACTAACTGTGGGACTTTGGAGCCTAACTCTTTGCTCTTCAATTGATAAAAGTGACGTGTTTTTTTTCCTGCTTCTGGATGAAGGAAAGGAAGAAAGAAAGTTGTATGAAAAAAGGGGGTCAATCAAAATCCCAATGCCCAAGGCCTTAAGAGCAAGATGGGGCATTCCATCACAAAAGTCATATCCAGAATTCTGTATCAAATTAAGAGGGATCCATGGGAGGGTCCCAAAGTCAAGATGGCCAAAACCACTTTGGACTTTGGTTGGCTGGGGGATTCTGGGAGCTGAAGTCCACCCGTCTTAAAGTTGTCGAGGTTGAGAAATACTCGCTTAGTCAAGTAGGCTGAGAAAAAAAAAATATCCAAGTTGGTTTTCTTGGTTTTTCCACTTCAGACAAATTGCACACACAAAAAAAGAAAGTAATGGTGCTGTTTTGCACACTGCTCAGGGACAGTTCTGCTAATAATTCTCAGTTTTAATTCCATTCCTGCAGCAAAAGTTATTTTGTTCCTTGAATGAAATTCGTCAACAGATCTGTTTCGCCCACTGGAGTATTTGGTAATAAATCCGTGGAGTGGTTTCCCCTTTAATAAAACTTTTGAACATTTCAATATGTATTTCTTCCCAGCTATTGAGCAATTTAAACTGCCCCTTTTTAATTTTAGCTACAAAAATGAACTCATATTTTCCAGCATGGCAACAGCAAAATGACATAAACTTTGTGGGACCAATACAGGATAAGTTGTTTATTTGAAGGATAAAACTTCTATCGCCAGAAACATGTTCTTCTACCTGCATTTTTTCCCCTCATCTGCTAGCAAAGGAGCATGCAACCCTTGGCCAAAATTGGATTAATTTTAAATACTTATTTCCTGCTCTGCTGTGAGCCCATCAAACATAGTCAGTAGCGAATGTGTGATCACTGAGGTCGTATTAAATCCATGCTCTGTTGAATTGCTATTTATTGAATAAAGTTGAATAGGCTGGATTCAACCAGGTAAGTATTTAAATACAATAACGATCCTGTACTGGAGGTCTGTACTAAAGCCATTTCTAAATTAGAGGCATCTGGCAGAGAAAGCGAGGAGTGATTAATAAAGATCAATGCAGCGTCCCTTTTTTGCATGCATTGCAAAAAAATATTAATATTAAAATATTAATAGGAAAGTTAGGCAAGATTCAAAGGGAGCAACCTAAAATCCTGATCTAGCGCCACAACCCTGGTTCCACCCGGACGTTCGCCCGCGCTCGTCTGTGCTTTGCTGGGTCTCTGGGTAAGAACTCTGCACGTCGAGCTTGGAGTTTGATCCACCACCCTCTGCCCTGACTACAAGGCGACTGGAGGGGGGTGGCGGGTGGGTAGTGCCAGCCGCCCACGGGCCTCCTCCGCCCCTTGGCCGGCCCGACCCATCTGGCTTCCCCGCATAAAGCCTGCGAGCCGTCGGCGCGGCTACCTAGTCTGGTTCCTGCAG